CCGTGTCATTCATGGATGCTGTTACGCGGAAGATATTGTACTGTGTGACAACACGAAAGGGGGTTCATGATACGTCATCTGTGCGATTGGAGCGGGTTGCGTTCGACAAAGGAGTTGATGAGCTGGCGATGTTGGGATTTGATGGAAAAGGAATCATTTCGGACCAAGGAACGACATTCAGAGGTGCTGCAACAGAGCTGAAACTGAACCATCAGGTGGATTGGTGGCACGTGAAGAAAGCGCTGTACAAGCTTTTCTGCAAAGAGCTTCAAGATGTTGTGCGGGTGCCGGTAGCCGTGGACAAGGCAAGTTGTATTGAGGAGCTGTGGTTGGCTACGGTGGAAGGGTTGCGGCAATGGTTGCGAAAACGGGGTTTGGAGAAGGAGGCGAAGGCATCACTCAAATCGGCTCTTGTGAAATCGGTCTGCACAGCCATGGGCACCATTGCCTACGTGCACATGACACCCGATACAGCAAAGTGGAAGTTTCCGGAGCTGAGAAAGGTGCGAAGAGTGGGGGGGGAACAGGGGGTTGTAGATGTCCCTGTGGCTTATGCTGAGGTGCGATCTGGCCCAACAGGAGATAGGCGACCCACTGCGATCGATGAAGTGGTTGACGAGGAGGATTTGGGCAATGCACAAGTTGACGTGCAATGGCCGGATGTGGAGCTTTGGAGTTACGAGTGCATCCAGTGCATGGCGCGCGACCCTCGTCGGTGGCAAGTGCATTCATCGTGCATCCACATGCAGGTGCAGGCGATGTCTCACGGTCAATTGGTGGGACGACTCCGTGGGCCAACGCTGACGAACTCACTTTTAAGAAAGCTCATATAAGAGAAGTTTTAACTGCTCATATTGTTTGGTTACTCAGTCATGTTTCCTTCCAATATTGTCGTTCACCAGGAGATGATGGCATGGGTGGTTCGGACCCAACAGAGACTAACCCTGCAACCGACAACGAGGATGCAGTGCACGATGGTGATGCTGCAGGAACTGGAATCGGACAGACTTTGCCTCGGTGGGTTGGGCGCCGGAAACCAAAACGGGGTGGAGACGAGGTGCACGCATGCGATGAAGAGAGTACAGTGGCGCAACGCTTCGGCTCACATTTTTTCCATGTGATGATGCACTCCGGGAGGATGAAGGAAGCGGTCACCCCTATGACCCCTGATGATGTGTCGAGGGAGATTGGGACGGCGCCAAACCATTGGGCGGGTGACCATTACCGGTGTGGAAAGTCTGGTGGTGTCCCGCCAAGGTGTGTTACTAAGAATTGGGGGAGGGAATGTGCTCTTTACGAGCCTGGGTCAGAAACACACAAGGCGGTACTTGCTTGGTTCGAGAAATGGTTATCCTCGGAAAAGGTGAAGTCTTTTGTTCATGGTGCCAACAGCTCTGTCAATGAGTCGTTCCATTCTCTGATCCTCAAATACGCCCCTAAGCGTATTCGGTTCCAGGATAGTCTAGTGCCGCGGGTGGCTCTCGCGGTCTTGCACTGGAATAACTCGATGGATAGATTGGTCACTTCTTATCACACACGAGTGCGGCAAGTGACGCGGGTGCGTCGGGGCAACAAGGATCGAACACTCGGACCCATGGATTGGTCGTGGGTCGATCGGATCATGGCTGAGTGGCAACGATCGTTAAGGGATGGTGTCGATGACGATATTATTGAGGATGCATCAGGGGGCCAGGGATCAGAACAGCAGTCCGCTGACATATCTGATGGGGGGGGGCACCCCCCTGTACAGCAGCCCGCTACACCTGTGCGACATAGTGGGAGGGGTCGCGATCGGTCATCAACGCATAAGGCTGCGCGCAGAATTCTAGGTGACATCACGTTACACATTTGCACATTCGCCACATATCACACCCAATCTCATCAACTAATGTTACAAGTCAATTTGACCGGCACTTTCCGTTTGTGCTAATGTTACAAGTGACGTCACGAACTATCCTCGGTAAACATCCACGACACACCTATGGGGTTCAAAACGGTCCAACATTATCACTTTGGCCGCCACGCCGCATCGCTTCTGGTATGAACGACACCCATAAGCTCGCCCATGGTAGTAATGAACCCTATTATTGTTAATACTTATTCTCAAACACCAACACTAGTGGGTCTTCAGATCTATCCCCCCCTCTCCCCTCTACTCTTCCTTGTCTCCCTCAAGCCCTTCCTCTTGACCGAAAACCTTGAGATGCACCGTCTCCCCATCCCCCATCCCTGCGATACATCCCATGTCAGTGCCTAATATTGGTCCCGCCAGTGCAGGGAGTGTCACTGCTGCCGTACTCGTGAAGGGACATGGAGGTGGCAGGGCAGCTTTCCCTGTGGAAGCCTCGGCCCCCTGGGACGTCTGCCGCCTAGTGGCAAATGACACCTGGTGCAGTGCAGGTGACTCTGGTGTATTGCAGTTGTCCTTTGGTGCATTTGGCATTTGCACTAGTGTATGATATTCCATGCCATCTCCCCATTTTCTCCACGTCCTTCTCCTCTCTCCTAGCTCCACCCACAACTCTCCCATCCTTCCCATGACTTCTATTAGAAATCATCTCAAAGACAATCACCTTGACTCTTTCCCACCTCCCCTCTCTCCCTTCTTTTCCCCCCTTCCCCACCACTCCCCACTCCCCCACGTTTTGACAGCTATTGCACGCGGTAAGCAGTGAAAGCTAGCTTGTCAACCTGCTGCTCCTCCCCCCTGTTCTCAGCTCCCTTATCCTTCTTCTCTTCTCCTCTGCCCCCCACCCCACTCCCCCCACAAACCCCCATCCCCCCCCTCCCCCCTCCGCAGATCAGCCATTGCAAAGCTCCAGCAAGGAGAGCCCCTCGAAATATCCCATCTACCCCTCCTTTCATGTGCCCGACGCCGCCACTCTTGGCCACTCCTCTCGGCTGGGCTTACCTAGACATATTCAGCTAGACCGTCTGGAGCGAAGCTCCGCACAAATTTCCACACGTATCTTGGGGAAATCGGCTTTAGTTTATAGGCAACATCAAGTCGTTTTTCTAAGGGCGTGTCATGCTTGGTGAACTTGCAGTCCATTCAAAGCGGCTGACTATGATGTGTCCGGTTCTATAACGGCAAGAGTGCTTTACGGATTCGGAGTGCTACGTACCAACCTAAACATTCTTTGGCGAGATGCGTTTTCACCATGTATGACACACCTTTATACCGAGAAACCGTTTTTGGGTTCTAGTATGCTTGACATTGGCTATGTTGTGTATCACAGCTAGGCACAAGCTCTCTTGTTCATGTAATTTTACACATTGGAGCTCCGGTCAAGATTGAGATAGGGCATATACAGTACACCCCTTGTACACAGTTGAACTAGCACAAGTAAAAACCATTCAGCATATAAACCATTGGCACCACACAAAGCACGACCCACAAGTCTTTCCCTGCTGCCAATCTCCATATCATGCCGCGGCCTCTTCATTCTGCTTGCCTTCTTGCGCCCTCCTACCATGCCACTACGAACTGACCACACCACACAGCTCTACCCGATTCAAATGCCTTTGGCCCATGATCCAGATTCAACACTGTTGCCTGCACAGTGCTGGCTGTCGCGCGTTGCAGCTGCCAATCCCTCCTTACACTTGTCAGAATGTTGTATTTGTCTAGCCTGCAGTGGGGTACTCTGTAGCGAGTACAGCCCAATCTAGGGTTTCCTATATGTACTCAACTGCTTGCTAGTGCAATCCCCCTTTTCTGCTTCTAAACCTTTGCCTAAACTCTCGACATGCTATCAGAGCAGGTCGACCCCCTTGGGTCGATCCTGTGGGTGGGCCCGCCACCTAACTGCTTCCGCTGCTGTTATGCTTCTCGCGCGCCTCGGGCGTGCGTCGTCTTCTTCCTGCCGTGCGCTCGGGGCGCGGGGCGATTTTCTGCCCGCTGTGCACCCCGGGCCGCGCGGCGGTTTCCTACCGTGGGGGACCCGCGCGCGCCCCCGCCCTGTCCGTCGCGTCGCCCTGAGGGACCCGCGCGCTGCCCCCGCTGCCCCGTCGGTGGTCGCGTCGCCCCGCCACCCCGTCGCGCCGCCCTGGGGAACAGCGCGCGACCCCCCGCTGCCCCGTCGACGGTCGCGTCGCCCCCGGGGACCCGCGAGCCGCCTCTGGAGCCGTGCGCGACCCCCCCGCTGCCCCGTCGCGGCGCCCTGGGGAGCCGCGCGCGGCCCCTCGCTGCCCCATGGTGGCGCCCTGGGGGCCGCGCGCCGTCCCCCGCGCTCCTGCCCCGTGCCACCCGTTTTAGGGTTTGGGGGTGGGGAGTGTGGGGGTGGCGGTTGTGGGGGTGCCGGTTGTGTGCCCCGTCCCCTACTCCTCCTCCTCCGTCTCCCGCTGCTGCAGCTGCCGCTCAGGGGGGTGGGTGTGTGGGAGCCGAAGGAGTGGTGCTAGGGGGGTGACGTGGGAGTGGAGCTAGGGTTTATGCAGGGGTGTGTGAGAGGGGGGTGGGACGGTCGGGGGAGGTTGAGCGGAGGCTGCCGTCTTGTCGTCAGCAGCACCTGTAGTCCGGGGCGCTGTTCCGGTAGCCCAGTCGTAGCCAGCTGCGCCAGTCGCCCGTGGGTCCGTTGCTCGTCTGCCGCACTTAGCCGCGGAGCCAGTTACTCCTGTAGTCCGGGGCGCTGTTCCGGTAGCCACTGTGCCAGTATGACTCCTGTTGCCCGTGTGTCTGCAGCTTCAGCCGTCGCCTCTTGTCTCCTCTCCTCCTACAGTCTCGCCTCCTCCTCCTCACTTGCCCTTTGTGAATGCCTCTAGCTTTGCTTGCACTTGTGAACCTGCTCTGTGCCTGCTTATTGTACTGATTACACCCCACTTTGGCTATGGGGGTGTGTCAGAATGTTGTATTTGTCTAGCCTGCAGTGGGGTACTCTGTAGCGAGTACAGCCCAATCTAGGGTTTCCTATATGTACTCAACTGCTTGCTAGTGCAATCCCCCTTTTGTGCTTCTAAACCTTTGCCTAAACTCTCGACAACACTCAGGGAGGGCGGCAACATCAAATGCAGGGCCTTATCGGGCGCAGGTCAGCATATGGTATGTGTAAGCAGGGGAGGCTGAAGGTAGTCTCGAGAAGAGGCTGCCCCGCAACTCTGCCAGCTGCGCGCCCTATCTCGCATAACCTGCCGAAGTGCGATGTGGGCTGCTGCTGCTTCGTGACAGGCGTGGCGGTGCGCGGAGGGGTTCGCCTCAGGGCGGATCCAGTCGTAGATCTGCTTTCCAGCAGCTGAGGGGCGGGAGAGTGGGGCGGGGAGAACAAGGGAGTGAGTGGGCGTGTCAAGTGTGCGAGTTGGGAAGGGAGAAGGGAGGGATGGCGACAGTGACGGTGGAAGGGAAGCAGGGAAGGGGACATGGGGAAGCAAGGAAGGGGACATGGGGGGAAGCAGGGAAGAGGATGGGGAGAAGCATGTAAAGGGATGGGGGGAAGAAGGGAAGGGGATGGGGGGATGCAGGGAAAGGGACATGGGAAAGCAGGGAGGGGGATGGGAAGCAGAGAAGGGCGTGGGGGGAAGCAGGGACGGGGACATGGAGAAGCAGGGAAGGGGATGGGGGAATATAAGGGAAGGGGATGGGGGGAGGAAGGGAAGGGGATGGGGGAAAGCAGGGAAAGGGACACGGGGAAGCAGGGACGGGGACATGGAGAAGCAGGGAAGGGGATGGGGGAATATAAGGGAAGGGGATGGGGGGAAGCAGGGAAGGGGATGGGGGGAAGCAGGGACGGGGACAAGGGGAAGCAGGGAAGGGGATGGGGGGAAGCAGGGAAAGAGACACGGGGGAAGCAGGGAAGGGGGCATGGGGAAGCATGGAAGGGGATGGGGGAAAGCAGGGAAAGGGACATGGGGAAGCAGGGAAGGGCGTGGGGGGAAGCAGGGACGGGGACATGGGGAAGCAGGGAGGGGGATGGGGGGAAGCAGGTACACGGGGGAAGCAGGGAAGGGGACATGAGGAAGCAGGGAAGGGGATTGGGGGAAGCAGGGAAGGGGACACGGGGAAGCAGGGAAGGGGATGGGGGGAGGAAGGGAAGGGGATGGGGGGAAGCAGGGAAAGGGACACGGGGAAGCAGGGAAGGGGACATGGGGAAGCAGGGAAGGGGATGGGGGAATATAAGGGAAGGGGATGGGGGGGAAGAAGGGAAGGGGATGGAGGGAATCAGGGAAAGGGACATGGGGACGCAGGGAAGGCGATGGGGGGAAGCATGGAAGGGCGTGGGGGGAAGCAGGGACGGGGACACGGGGAAGCAGGGAAGGGGATGGGGGGAGGAAGGGAAGGGGATGGGGGGAAGCAGGGAAAGGGACACGGGGAAGCAGGGAAGGGGATGGGGGGAGGAAGGGAAGGGGATGGGGGGAAGCAGGGAAAGGGATACGGGGAAGCAGGGACGGGGACATGGAGAAGCAGGGAAGGGGATGGGGGAATATAAGGGAAGGGGATGGGGGGAGGAAGGGAAGGGGATGGGGGAAAGCAGGGAAAGGGACACGGGGAAGCAAGGACGGGGACATGGAGAAGCAGGGAAGGGGATGGGGGAATATAAGGGAAGGGGATGGGGGGAAGAAGGGAAGGGGATGGGGGGAATCAGGGAAAGGGACATGGGGACGCAGGGAAGGGGATGGGGGGAAGCAGGGAAGGGCGTGGGGGGAAGCAGGGACGGGGACATGGGGAAGCAGGGAAGGGGATGGGGGGAAGCAGGGAAAGGGACACGGGGGAAGCAGGGAAGGGGACATGGGGAAGCAGGGAAGGGGATTGGGGAAAGCAGGGAAGGGGACACGGGGAAGCAGGGAATGGGACATGGGGAAGCAGGGAAGGGACACGGGGAAGCAGGGAAGGGGATGGGGGGGAAGCAGGGACGGGGACATGGGGAAGGAGAGAGGTAAGCGGTGTGGAGGTGAAAGGCGACCATTAGGGGAAGGGCTACCGTGTGTGTGGGTTGGAAAGGGGGCGTCATTGGTCCAAATGAGTTGGGAAGGGAGATGGGAGGGATGGCGACAGTGACGGGAATGCCAGGGCGACGAGGGGAGAGAGATACGGGGATTGCGAGGGGACGAGCGGGAGGGAGGGCGATGAGCAGCAGGGAGCGCGACGAGACAAAGGGGGGCAACGGGCGGAAGGGAGCGCGACGAGGGGAAGGTAGGGCAGCGGGTGGTCGGGGGGGCAATGGGAGGAAGGGAGGGTGACGAGACGAAGGGAGGGCGACGGGGGGAAGGCATGGCGACGGGCGACGGGCGGAAGGGATGGCGACGGCGGAAGGGAGTGCGACGGGCGACGGGCGGAAGGGATGGCGACGGCGGAAGGGAGGGCGACGGGCGGAAGGCATGGCGACGGGCGACGGGCGGAAGGGATGGCGACGGCGGAAGGGTGGGCGACGGGCGGAAGGCATGGCGACGGGCGACGGACGGAAGGGATGGCGACGGCGGAAGGGAGGGCGACGGGCGGAAGGGAAGATGACGGGCGGAAGGGAGGGCGACGGCAGAAGGGAGTGCGACGAGCGCTAGGGAGAGCGACGGGCAGTAGGGCGACGGCGGGAGGGATTGATGGGCGTAAGAGAGTGCGACGGGTGCATTGGAGTGCAGGCACACGGAAGGGAGTGCGACGGGCGTTAGCGGGTGACTCGAAGGTGAGGCAAGCGCCCGATCCGTGTGATTCGGACGTACATGCAAGCGCCATCGTCCCTATAGAAATTGGCGTGACGCATGACGGTTTTCTTTATGCTGGCTAATTTTATTTAGGTTGTTGGGAAAAAAAAACCGGCTGCTGCAAGGATTCAGATATCTCGCTGCCATTGTCTACATGAGATTAGCAAGCGCTCTGTGGTCCTGAACAGTGGAGCCCACTACGTGTCTTAGGCTCAATATGGCTGCACATTAGTAAAACTTGGTTTTCAAGTTTACTGAATGTGAACAGTGCTCCAACTCCCCTTGACACTTCACGCGGAGTACTTGTTTTGTCGCTGGCCAATCATGCATCAGAGTTGTGAAGCCTCTCCTCTGTGAGGCGACGGAAAGCTTTCTTTCGGGTGGTAACCTGGTTTTTGGCGAGTTCCCGGGTCTGCGAAGAGCGTCGCTTCACCCTGTGGCAGCGCCGCCGCCTTCTCTGCTAGCCATTTCTTGGTGCCTCCTTCCTCCGCAAGCATTTTCGCCACCATCCTGATTGCCATACAGTCGATTCTCGCCTTGGGGTCGACCAGGCCCAGACCTCCCTCCTTCTTTGGTAACCGGGCTAGCTCCCCGCTCCACAACACGAACTGCTTGTCCGCCGTGGCTTGCCCGCTTGAGACATAGTTATCACATGTTTTTTGTATACGCTTCCACAGCTCCTCCGGTGGTGGGTATACTTGCGCTTGGAAGATAAAGATCGGCATTATGTACGCGTTGATCACCGTTACCCTTGCCGCCGTGAGGAGATGGTGGCTTTCCCATTTGACCAGTTCCCCCTTCCCTCGCTCCCATGCCTTCTCCCAGGATGGCCCGCCGTCCCCGTCTGCAGAGATCCAGATGCCCAGTAGCCGCTCTGGTACACCATCCTCGGCCCTCTTGAAATCTACCCCGTCCGCTGATTGCTTTCCTCTGTTCCTCCCCAGCGGGACCACCACCGACTTTCCTTTGTTTGTCCGTATCCCCGACAGGTCGCCGAACCTTTCCAGAATCTCCGCCGCTGATCTCAACTGGTCTTCCCCTTTGAGGATTAGTGTTGTGTCATCGGCGTAACCTATGTACGTAAGTGCTGTGCCCCCCTCTGGCTTCACCCCCAGTCCTTTCCTCCCAATCTCCAGGCAGAGTGGCTCCAGAGCGCACATGAACAAATATGGTGCCAGCGGACAGCCTTGTCGCACCCCTCTCTGCATCTCCACCCGGGTGCTGACCCAGCCATTTATCGCAATCGTCGTGCCGGAGCCTCGGTACAGCCCTTCCGTCCACCTCACAAACTGTTCCGGTATTCCAAGCTTGCGAAGGGTTTCGAACAGGTATGGTCTTGCTATTGTGTCATATGCCTTCTGAAAATCGACCATGAGGAGGTACCAGTCCTCTCCTCCATTCCCTGCCGCCTCGACCGCGTCCGCTACCACTGACACCGCATCCGCCAGGCACCTGCCTGGTATGAAGCCATGTTGTCCCTCTGAGATCACCAGGTGCAGTTCTTTCTTCAGCCTGTTTGCCAGCAGCTTCGCCAGCACCTTGTACACCGTGTTCAGGAGCGTGATGGGTCTGTAGTTTCCTAACTGATCTTTCGGTCCTTTTTTGTGCAGTAAGACAGTGACCGCCGTGGTGATGGACTCCTCCAGATTTGCGGACTGTTCGAATCTCTTCGCGAAATCCACCAACGAGGCCCCTAGCAGGTCCCAGTGCTCCTTGAAAAGCTCCGGCGGAAGCCCGTACCCCCCCGGCGACTTCCCCCTCGGCAATCCTACCAATGCCTCCTTAATTTCCGCCTCCGTCCATGGGGCGCTGAGCCTGCTCATCGCCTCCTCCGGTAAGCGCTTCGCGACTTCTACTGCTCTTCTCTCCTGCCGCCACGTCCCTTCCTGTTCGCTAAACGCCTCCTCGAAATGCGCAGTTGCGGCTTGAAGTACCTCCTGGGACCCATAGAACCGCTCCCCTTTGTGCACCACTTCCTTAATCAACGTTCTCTCCTTCCTTATATTGACCTTGGCAGATAGGTACGGCGATGGGATTTCTCCGTGTAATTCCAGGTCCATGCCCGCTAGTACCTGCATCCGTTCCCTCTCGCTCTCTTCGTACCCTTTCAGCTGCGCCTCCTTCGCCAACAGCCTCTCCTTCGTGCTTGCATCCGTGGGGCCTGCCATGACCAGGTGATTCAGCCTTGTTACTTCTGCCACTAGATGCTTTTTTGTGGCCGTAGCTCTCTTCCGTTCCTCCTTCTCATGTGCTCTCAGAGCCGCGCTCAGCCGCGGTAGGTTGCTTTCCAGTGTCCGGCTGCTCCCCTCCGGACTCCTCATGACCTTACTAATCACCTCTCTGACTCCCCTCCTGTTTGCTCTTGTCGCCTGAAACCTCCAGATCCCCGGTCCGCTACTCTGCGACGACTCGATCTTGAGGCACACGTGGATGGCGAATCGGTAATCTGAGAGCTTCGGCGGCACCCGCACATGCTCAGCTGCCGTTAGCTGTCCCAGGAGCGAGGTCGACACCAGCGTCCTGTCAATCCTGGTTTTCGTGCCCGACGGTCTCGCATGGAAAGTATACTCCCGCAGCCCCGGGTTCAGTGCCCTGAACGCGTCCTTGAGATCGTGTCCCGGCCACGCGTCTAGCAGTCTCTGGTTCTCCCTACCAGACCCTGTCCCTGATGACCTGTCCAGGTCCGGGTCCGCCGTGATATTAAGGTCTCCTACTAGTACCAGGTGCGTCGCCGCTGCTTGTTCTGGAGCTTGTGTGAAAGTAAGTGTTCCGTGTGAAACTTCGTCCGGCTGCCCGGTTGCGCTGGCAGGTACGCCGCTACCAGCCTGAACACCGTCTCGCCTCCCTCCACTGTGACTCCTAACAGCCTTCCTGTGGGATGGACCGTGACATCTTTGAAACGGATTTGCCTGCGGAAGGAGACAATCGCCACTCCTCCTGCTCCCTTCTCCGTGCTCGCCATCGCCCGCGCTGTTGTTTTTAATTGGGTCCATAAGTTATGGTCTTCTTTGATCCTTGTGTCTGACATCACCACTATGTCAGCCGCTTTCCTCATCCAGGATCGGTGTTTGATTCTTTTGCCGTTGCTACCGAGGCCATTCACGTTGACCCCACAAATAGTCATCCGTGAGTTTTTATCCATTGATCAACTTGCACTGGAGCCCCTCGCATCCACGGGCTTTATTACGCAGAGTACACGCACATGGTCCTACTGCCGCTTTAATCCCCTTCACGCCTCCCTGGTTCCTGCTTGCAGCTGACCCCTTGCAACCGTGTGTTGGTATGAAGGAGCCGTGTCCGTCCCTTCCTTGTCTTACATCCCGAACTCCTTCTTGACCGTCAGGAGGTTCATCTTCCCCCTGCTCTGACGTGTTGCCGATCCCGCCTTGAGACGTTCTGTGCAGTGCATGACCGAGGCCGCATGCTCCGCCGCCTTCGCGAAACTGACGCCATGCGCCTTCCCACATCCCTCCTGAACGCACAGCCACTCCTCCCGCGCGCCGTTGGTAGAGGTGAAAACCATCGCCGGATCTTCCATAATGGCCTTTGTAGCTGAGGTCAGCTTCAGGGAGGCCGCTGCGCGGAGGGGAGGCGGTACAGAGATGAGCTGGAGCTCCCGCGGCTGCGACAACCTGAAAGGCATAACTTGAGCAGGCATGATTACCATTCATCTCATGCACACGCGCCAACGGTAAGTTCCACTTCGTGAAATTGTCCTGCCGCTCCGTCACGTACTCATCATGAAAACATGACATGTGCATGCCGTTGCAGAAAACACAGGTGAGTGCAGGAAAAGAGACGAGCAAGATCGTGCCGTGGACCTTATCCGTCACTCTGTGCCACCACTTATACTTATCCCCGGGGTGCCGGTACACCAACCCCTTAATCTTATCCGTGTCAGACCCTGTCACCGGATCCACCACCCTGTGGAAAGCCGAACCCTCCAGGAACGCCGTGCGCTTGCGCTTCAGCAGTGTCACGGTCACCAGACTCTTCCGAATCATCTCCGGCGTGATGACGGCCGGAACATTCCGCAGCAGCACTTCAATGGCATCTAGCTTCAAAGACCGCTCCTTCAGGTATTCTTGATTTTCGGGGTATTGCCACCCGAGCGTCAGCCTGAGATTGTTCACCGTCACATGTTCCACCTTCCTGCTCCACATGAAATTAGCATCCGTCGCGTGCACGAAAACCACCTGGACCCGCCCGAAACGCTCCTTAGAGAGCCATGCAGGCGTCAGCTTATGACACTTCGTTGTCGCCTTCACGTTCTCTGTCAGATGCTCTTCCCACAGCAGCAGGAGTCCGCGAATCGTATCCATCGTACGCGGGACCTCCTCAATCCACTTGGCCGGAATGAGGAGCGTGATGGCGAACCCCGCTTGTGACGCTATGTCGTTGATCGCCTCTGGGTCTTGAGCTTCATCGGGGTCATCGCTAAGGTAGCCGTCCTCCTCTTCATTTTCCTTAGCGACTTCCTTCCCCTTGTGCTGAACAGCAGGCGCGGTTGTCTGCTTCTCACTCGCCGTCACATCCTTGTTCTTCCCTCCTTCTGGCAGATCATGGATCTTGAGTGCTGACGTTCTCGCTGACAGCTCGTTAACAGCTTCCGCTCCGAAAGGCCCCTGGACGCCATCGAAAAGGGTCCTGGGTGTGACTGGCTCCGAGCCCTGCTTTTTGCCAGCACCTCCAGCAACAGCAGCAGTCGACAAGTTAGCCTCAGGGGGAGCCATCGTGTGATGATGAAATGGCAGGAGAGGCCAGATAGTAAGTGGAAAAAACGAAAGCCTGAACACGGGATGCTCCCACACTGAGTCGTGTCTGTCATTGTTCCCATTGGTGTATATATAGTCTTGAAACACCCTCCGTATCGCCTCTAGTGGTTCATTGCTCCAACCTGGATCCTTGGCGATCCCTAGAACCTTGGTAGCTTCTCTTGTCGCTGCAATATCTAAGTTAGCTTCCGCCTCGAAACTGCCTGACAAAAAGCCTTTGATAACAATGTTCGCTGTATGAACACACAAAATGTATCGCCGGCTTCCTAATGTCTCCGCGATCACAGATTTAGGCTTTAAAAGGCTAACTGATAAGAAATTGGTTGACATTGAGAGCTCCGAAGTGCCTGGGATCAGCCATGGCGGCCTTGATGTTGTCATCGCCATCTGGCACGAGTTGTTGGATGGCGGCATCATGAAGCGTGACAGGTCATCGCAGATAGGTGAAATGTTCCGCCACTTTACTGGCTGCGAACCGCCACTGTACATTTGCGACAGACAATGTCAGTAATGGATGTTGTTTGTTCGGAGGTGCAAAAACCAACCTCCTAACAAGTTTGGCGTGTGCGACGACGAACTTGTTAGGAAATTGGTTGTTTGGAGGTCCGAAATGCGACCTAAGTTGGTTCTAGTGTGGGGCGTCGATGTGAAAATACAGAGGTTTAGAACTTGGTGTGTCAGGTTACGCGATGCTGTTCCTTCCCCTCCGCCCTTTCTTCCCCCTCTTCCAACCACCTCCGCCGTTCCTTCCCCCAACCCAACCCTGTCACGAAATGTGGTTGGGCTCGCCATCCTTGTTCTGGTTCATCGCACTGGTGATTGAGAAAAACATTCACTTCGCAATCCAATGAACACACGCCAAAGGGTTAGCACTCAAAATGCCCCCAAAAACCCCTCGAAGTATGTAGACCACAGCCCCTAATAGTCATTGCAATCCGTATTAGTCATTGCGATCATAGCGCATCTCGTTGTTAGGTCAATTTCGACCATTCCACGATCTATTTCGCCTCGCCTTATGCAACGACATTCGCCGACAGGGAGTTGAAAGGCTAGAGGCCGTTCACACCTGCCCTCGCGGCGACGCCTCGCCGCGAATCGCCGCCGCAAGCCCCTGCTTGCAGCCACGTGAAAGCCGAAGAAAGGAGCCACGCCGCGCCGTGCTGAGCTGCCTCGCCAGACCTCGCCCTGCAGTCCATCGTGAACACGCACGTGGCAATGATGAATGCAGAATAGCTTCGCATGTGCGCCGACAGAAGGTAGGCGCACCACATTTAGTCACTGGAGTGGGCTGACGCAGGTTGCGAAGGCGTCGGCGACAGTGTCGATTTTCCAACCTCCCCGCCGCCCGACCCCCGTTACCGTCGCCCGACTCCCCTTCCCGCCTGCTCGTGTGAGCGGCGCAGCTCCGTTTCCGCACTAGCCTAGGAAGCCACATGTGAGTTCGTGACGTGGAAACGAAACTTCCTCCCGTCCCGCCAGCCCTTCTCGCCTCCCCATCTCCCATCCCGCCTCCCGTTATCCACTTCCTGCCTCCCGTTCTCGCCTTCTCGCCTCCCAACCTCCCATTTCCGCATCCTCTGCTCCTCTTCCCGCCTCCCGTTCTCCCATTCCTGCCTCCCGTACCCCTCTGACCGCCGGCCAATCCTTCCTTCCGCCGCCCGAACTCCCCATCCCGCTACCCGATCTCCCCTTTCCGCCTCCCAATCTCCCCTTTCCGCCTCCCAATCTCCCCTTTCCGCCGCCCGATCTCCCCTTTCCGCCGCCCGATCTCCCCTTTCCGCCACCTGATTTCCCCTTTCCGCCTCCCAATCTCCCCTTTCTACCTCCCAGTCTCCCCTTTCCGCCTCCCAGTCTCCCCTTTCCGCCGCCCGATCTCCCCTTTCCGCCACCCGATTTCCCCTTCCCGCCTCTCAATCTCCCCTTTCCGCCACCCAATCTCCCCTTTCCGCCTCTCAAACTCCCCTTCCCTGCATCCCCTCTCCCCAGCCTGCATCCCCCTCTCCCCAGCCTGCATCCCCCTCTCCCCACCCTGCATCCCCTCTCCCCAGCCTGCATCCCCCTCTCCCCACCCTGCATCCGCTCTCCCCAGCCTGCATCCCCCTCTCCCCATCCCTGCATCCCCCTCTCCCCATCCCTGCATCCCCCTCTCCCCATCCTGGCCTCCAGATCTCCCCATCCCTGCATACCCCTCTCCCCATCCCTGCATCCCCCTCTCCTCATCCCTGCATCCCCCTCTCCCCATCCCTGCATCCCCATCTCCCCTCCCTGCATCCCCATCTCCCCTCATTTCCCCTCCTCACTATGCCCTCCGCAGGCCTCCCTGCTATACTATTCCCTCTTGTTACCTTCCCTGCCGTCCCCCCAATGCTGGAAGCGATCTCAATGTGCCTTTCCTCACATGCCCTCCAAAGCCTGCTTCTCCTCACTTCTCCCCTTGATTCCCCTCATATCCCTCCCCCCCCCCCCCCCCCCCTTGATTCCCCTCATCCCCCCCCCCCCCCCCCGCTGATTCCCCTCATCACAGCCTGTGGTTGAACCATTGCCATTTTCTTATTCCCCGCCCTCGGGATTCTTTCCCCTTCCTTAACAATTTCAGTGACTGACTGCTCTGAAGATTTCAAGCTTCAATATGCCTCACCCCATCATCTCATGCCAAAGGAGCTAATATTTGTTGCCAAAGGCATAGAGAAAGGGTCAATAGTACGGTATTGCTCCTCTTGGCCTTTGCCTACAGTCTAAAGTTATAAGAGAACATGTTTCTTTCTACCCGTATGCAGGGCTCTCGTTATCAGGGTAAAATACCCTTTTTGCACTGACTGGCGGCCGCTTTTTTTCAGTTACCCTTTCACAGGCAGGGTAGTGGATTTTTTACCCTAGGCCAGAAAGTGTAAGTTTTTTTGTACCCTTTGAAAAACAGCGTAAGGAACTTAATTCCCTGACTGTTAACTGTACATTCTTAGTTATACTGTTACCGAATACTTCGTAGCGAGATGAAACACTATCCGGGCCCCTGCAAAATACTAGAAGCAGTGGGACTCGAAACCGCGGACTCTACCATCTTCTCTGAAATCGAACCAACTGAGCCACTAAGTAGAGAAATTACTATCTTTTGACATTTTGCTCTAGCATATTTTATGAAATACCCTGGCTCAACAGGCTAACTTTTTTATTACCCTGCTTTTGTCAGGGAAACGAAAAATTTACCCTACGCATCAGGGTTGACTATACCTAGAACCCTGATTACTAAGGGTGGCCCAAAACGAATCTGAAGCCCTGCCCGTATGTGATGTGACACCTGTCAATGCATCTTGGAATGATCAATTGCACTGCTGAATCTTGGTAGTACAAAGTGGGATTCTTGATGCATATCTCTAGCAAAAACTCACTACCATACTTGCATTACACCGCACACTAGACAAAACAAAAGTGGTGTCAAACATCCACTAGTTACGCCTCTGCTTGTAACTGCTACCCTCTGTATCAACACAGCCAATTAGCAGAGTAGGCAAAATCGATTGTGTAAGGCCCAATAGGAAGGTGCTGTGAGGCAGAAGAGAAGCAACAAAGGAATTCAAGCAAGTGATGGCACTACATGCACAAGATGGGAGATGGGAAGGCAGGGTTGCGGGGAAAAGATGAGAGCAAGTGTGAGGAGCAAGAACGCGGGACTGCGACACTAGGAGCAAATAGCTGGCATGCTCATTGCCATGTCAGCAGGCATGCCGACGATTGCTGACGTGGCAGCAGTGGTGGCGGAAGGGGCGGCAGCGGCAGCGGCGAGGGTGAGCGAGGTGAATTGGGCCACTACTGTAGCCGTTTCCCTGTCTGTATCTCGGGTGACTGAGGAGGCCCAAGGGGCCAGAACGGGTGGCAGGGTACGGCACGAGGTGGGTTGCCTCGTCAGCGAGCCATGATTTTTTGATGAGAGCCATTGCAAGGCCGACAGCCAGTGCTATGGTGTCAAACACGTGCTTCACCTGCAGTAGTAGGCAGAATGGCACGGTGGGGGGCAAGGAAGGGGAGAGAGGAAGAAGAGGAGAGCAGGATTGTATATTGAGCAGAAAGACAAGTTGCGGGGCAATGGTGGGAGAGGAGGATTGTCGGTTAAAACTCGGCTTTGTCTGCCAGCAAGGAAGTGTGAGTGCACGGCAGCAGTTTGTGTGTGCATATGTGTGCACAGCAGCACAGAAGCGCCATAACACCCACCTGAACAGCCAGGTCTCGAGTGGGCAACACAACCACCACTCTGACTCGTCGCACCACGTGCCCCACACGGGCCTGCATCACTGGCAGCACATACGCCAGCGTCTAATGGGGAGGGGGAAATGACCGTATTACCCACCTGAGCAGCCAGGTCTCTGGTGGGCAGCACTACCACCGCCCACACTCGCCGCGCCACACGCCCTGCCAGTGCCTTCACCACTGGCAGCGCATACGATAGGGGGGAAACGATAGGGTAGCAGGGGGGAAAAAACCGGAAAGGAGGGGAGAAACAGAGTGTTGGCTGGAGGGGAAGGAAGAGTGAGCATGGGGGAGGAAGGCTAGCACGGGAGGAAAGGTGGGATAGAGAGGAAGAGGGGAAGTGCAGAAGAGAGGAAAGGGGCAAGGGAGGAGATTGGTCGAGGTAGGGAACAGGGGGCTAGAAGAAGATTGGACGAGAGAGGAGATGGAAGGGAGGAGATTGGACGGGGGTGGAGAGGGAAGGGAGGAGATTGGACGAGGGAGGGATGAGATTGGACCCGGGAGGAGAGTGAAGGAAGGAGAGGGGATGGAGAGGAAAAGGGGCAAGCAGAGAGGTGAATGAAGGTAAGGGGGGGAAACAGGGAGGAAAAGGAGGGGATTCAGGGGGGGAAAGAAGGGGATGCAGTGCAGGGGGGGAAAGGGGGGGATGCACGGAGGGATAGGAAGGGAAACAAGGAGGGAAAGGAGGGGATGCAGTTCAGGGGGGGAAAGGGGGGGATGCAGGGAGGGAAAGGAGGGGAAACAGGGAGGGGGAAGGAGGGGATGCAGGGGCGGAAAGGAGGTGACATAGGGGCGGAAAGCAAGGAATGCAGGGGGGTTAAGGAGGGGATGCATGGAGGAAAAGGAGGGGATGCATGGAGGAGACCTAAGCGTTTGGGAGAGGGTGAGCGAGTGAGCGCGGGGGGAGCGAGTGAGCGCGGAGGGAGCGAATGCGTGCTGGGGGAGCGAGTGCGCGGGGGGGGGAGCGAGTGAGCGGGGGGGGAGCGAGTGAGCGCGGGGGGAGCGAATGCGCGCTGGGGGAAGCGAGTGCGCGCAGAGGGAGCGAGTACGCGCGAGGGGGGCGAATGCGAGCTGTTGGAGCGAGCGCGGAGGGAGCGAGTGCGCGCTAGGGGAGCGAGTGAGCGCGGGGGGATCAAGTGCGTGCGGGGGCAGCGAATGCGCGCTGGGGGAGCGAGTGCGTGCGGGGGGAGCGAGTGCGCGCAGGGGGAGCAAGTGAGCGCGAGGAGAGCGAGTGCGCGCGGGGGAAGCGAATGCGCGCTGGGGGAGCGAGTGCGCGCGGAGGGAGCGAGTGAGCGCGAGGGGAGCGAATGCGTGCTGGGGGAACGAGTGCGCACGGAGGGAGCTAGTGCGCGCGGGAGCGAGCGAGCGCGAGGGGATCAAGTGCGCGCGGGTGCAGCGGATGCGCGCTAGGGGAGCGAGTGCGCGCGGAAGGAGCGAGTGACCGCTGTGGGAGCGAGTGCGTGCAGGGGGAGCGAGTGAGCGTAGGGGAGCGAGTGAGCGCGGGGGGAGCGAATGAGCGCTGGGGGAGCGAGTGCGCGCGGAGGGAGCGAGTGCGCACGGGGGGAATGAGTGCACGGGAGGCGGCTGGGACGTACACATATGGATGCAGCGTTGCGTCTGTCGGCCCAGCGCTTCTCCGAAGTGCGAGTCTTGAGGTACACTAAACCTATTTTGCCGATTGATACCCTAGCGACAATACTTGGAATTTGGTGACAAGTGGTTCCTCTCTTTTTTACGCACTCAAATCCATTTCCCTCGAAGTGGTGGAGGGGCTCAGAATTTTCGCCATCACTCTCGCCAAGCTGTTTCGCTTTCGCTGGGGCGAAATCGTTTTGGGCACTGTAGTCACTCCAACAGTACTCCCAAATGTATACTGCTGCTTTCGAGCACAAATTAGGAAGAGTTACGAGTTGGAAATGCCTCCTAGCCTCTATAAACATCAGAAGACGAGTTCTAGAGAGGTGGAAAAGTGCCACAAAGTCCGCAACCTTGAAAAGTCTTGAAATCACCCTCCACAAGGGCCTACACCAAGAGAAATGTTACACTACACATTGTAATGTAACTATTCTCACTATCTTGAAGTTTATCCTTTTGGCGAGCTTCGAATAACTTGAATCTTAAAACCAAGGCTCTATTTTTTTAATATAAATCCTTCCTTGAGTTCTTGGAAATTTACTGCACGCATTTGCGACACACAAAACGTTCGATACACAACAAAATAGAAAAACGCACACGACACGCAAGCAACGATGTGACGCGCCACTGGCGATAACTCGCTATTGACTCGACACACACATTCGACATCATGACTCATCACACACACGCTATTAGAAGCAAGAAATATGTATTATTTCACGCTCTCATACCATTCCATGCACACGCGTATGCACGCTCAAGGAGAACAAGCTGAGCGCAAGCCATGGGGTTGCACCAACAACCGGTCGATTCAGCCAACCGGCCAGTTGGTCCAACCGGTCCATCAGACCAACAGGCCAGTTGGTCCAACCGGTCCATTGGGACAACAGGCAAGTTAGTCCAACTGGTCCATTGGACCAATAGGTTAGCTGGTCCAACCGGTCCATTGGACCAATAGGTCAGTTGGTCCAATCAGCCCACTGGACCAAAAGGCAAGTCGGTCCAACCGGTCCATTGGACCCCCAGACCAACTGGTCCAACCATTCCATCAGACCAATAAGTCATATGGTCCAAGCAGGCGAGTTGGTCCAACCGGTCCATCAGACCAACACGCCATTTGTCAAATCCGTCTGCTAAACCAACAAGCCAATTGGTTCAACAGGTCCATCGGACCAACGCCATTTAGTCCAACCACTCAGTTGGACCAACAGGTCAATTGGTCCTATTGGACCATTGAACCAACAGGTCAGTTGGCCCAACCGATCAATTGGACCAATAGGCCAGTTGGCCCAATCGGTCGAGTGGACCAACAGGCCGCTTGGTCCAAGAAGTTCACTGGACCAACAAGCCAGCTGGTCAAACCGGTCGATTGGACCAACGAGCTAGTTGTTCCAACCGGTCCCTTGGACCAAGAGGTCAGTTAAGACGAACAAGGCAGATTGTCCAACCGGTCCATTCGACCAACAAACTAGCTACTCTAACCAGTCCATTCGACCAGCAAGGTAGTTTGTCCAAGAAGTCCAATTGGACCAACACGTCAATTGGTCCAACCGGTCCATTGGAACAACAGACCAATTGGCCCTACCCATCCATTGGAACAACAGTCCTTTTGGTCCAACCGGTCCATTGGACCAGCAGGCCAGTTGGTCCAACCGGTCCACCGGACCAACAGTCCAATAGGTCCAACTAGTCCTTTGGACCAAAAGGCCAGCTTGGCCAACTGGTTGATTGGACCAATTGGGCAGTTGGTCCAACTAGTCCGTTGGACCAACAGGCCAGTTGGTCCAACTGGTCCATTGGAGATATACCCCAATTGGTCCAACTTGTCCATTGAACCAACAGGCCAGTTGGTTCAATCGGTCGATTAGACTTACATGTTGGTTGGACCAACCAGTCGATTGGACCAAAAGGCCCATTAATTGGTCAATTGGACCAACCGATCAAAAATAGGTCCAACCAACAGGCTAACCAACCTGTTTGTTGGTCTGATCGACCGGTTGGGCCAATTGGTCCATTGGACCAACAGGCTAGTTGGTTCAACCGGTCCACTAGCCCAACAGGCCAGCTGGTCCAACCGGTCCACTGGACCAACAGGCCAGTTGGTCCAACCGGTCTATTGGACCATGGGCCAGCTGGTCCATTGGACCAACAGGCCATTCAGTCCAACCGGTCAAGTTGCACCAACTGGTCAGTTGGTCTAGTCCGTGCATTGGACCAACAGACCAGTTGGTTCAATCCTTCTAGTGGACCAACAGGCCAGTTGGTCCAACCGGTCGATTGGACCAACGGGTAAGTTAATCCAACTGGTCCATTGGACCAACAGGTGCAATTGGACTAATAGGCCAGTTGGTCCGGTCGGTCCACTGGACCAACGGGCTAGTTGGTCCAACCGGTACAGTGGACCAACAGACCAGTTGGTCCAACCTGTCTATTACAACATGGTCCAGCCGGTCCAATGGACCAACAGGTCAGTTGGTCTAGTCCGTTGATTAGACCAACGGACGAGTTGGTCCAATCCTTCTAGTGCACCATCCGGCTAGTTGGTCAAACCAGTCGATTGAACCAACAGGCAAGTTGGTCCAACCGGTCCATTGGACCAACAAGTCAGTTGGTGTAACCGGTCCAATTGGACTAAGAGGTCAGGTCCAACTGGTCCATTAGACCAACAAATCAGTTGGCCCTATCCGTCCATTGGACCAACAGGTCCAACCAGTCCCATTGGACCAACAAGTCAGTTGGTTTAACCGGTCCATTGGACCGGACCAGTTGGTCCAACCCATCCATTGGACCAACAGTCCTTTAGGTAAAACTGATCCATTGGATTAACAGTCCAACGGGTACAACCGGTCGATCGACCAACAGGCTAGTTGGTTCAATTGGTCCATTGCAGAAATAGGTCAGTTGACCCAACCGGTCTATTGGACCAACAAACCAGTTGGTCCAGTTGGTTAATTGGACCAACAGGCCAGTTGGTGCAACCAGTCTATTGGACCAACAAACTAGTTGTTCCAATCCGTCCAACGGACCAACAGAACAATTGGTCCAACGTGAATTGGACCAACAGATCGGTTGGTCCAACCGGTATTCTGGACCAACAGGCCAGTTCGTCCGACTGGTCTACAGGGCCATCAGGCCAGTTGGACCAACCGGTCGATTCGACCAACAGTCCAGTTGGTCGATCCGATCAACTAATGGACCAACAGGCCAGTTGGTCCAACCAGTCCATTGGACCAACATGCGAGGTCAAACCAGTCCAATGGTCCGACAGGCTAGTAGATCCAATCAATCTAGTGGATCAATAGGCCATATGGTCCAACAGGTCCATTGGACCATAAGGCTAGTTGGTCTAATCCGTAGATTGGACCAACCGGCCAGTTTGTCAAATCCTTCCTTTCGACCATCAGGCCAGATGCTCCAGCCGGTCGATTGTACCAACAGGCCAGTTGGTCCAACCGGTCCATTGGACCAACAGGTTAGTTGGTCCAATCTGTCCATTGGGCCAACTGGACAATTGGTGCAACCGGTCTATTGGACGATCAGACCAGTTGTTTAATTCCATTTTCTGGAACAACAGGCCAGTTGGTCCAACCGGTCGATTGGAGCAACAATTCGGTTGGTCTAGTTAGTATTTTGGACCAACAAGCCAGTTGGTCCAACCGGTCCATTGGGCCAACAGGCCAGTTGGTCCAACCGGTCGAATGGACCAACGGTTTAGTTGGTCCAACCGATCAAATGGACCAACAGGCCAGTTGGTCCAACCGATCCATTGAATCAACATGCGAGTTCAAAACAGTCTATTTGTCCAATAAGCCAGTTGATCCAACCAATCCATTGGACCGCCAGGTCAGATGGTCTAACTGGTCCATTGGACCAATAGGCTAGTTGGCCCAATCCGTCCCTTGGACCAACTGGCTAGTTTGTCCAATCCTTATATTGGACCATTAGGCTAGATGGTCCAACCAGTCGATTGGACCAACAGGCCAGTTGGTCCAACCGGTCCATAGGACCCAAAGGTATTTTGGTCCAATCGTTCACGCTAGACCAACAAGTCAGTTGGCCCAATCAGTCCACTAGACCCATAGGCCAGTTGGTCTAACCTTTCCATTGGACCAATAGGCCAGTTGGTCCAACCGGTCCATTTGACCAACAGGCCAGTTGGTCCAACCGATCCACTGGACCAACATGCCAGTTGGTCCAACCGGTCCACTGGACCAACAGTCCAGTTGGCCCAATCCGTCCATTGGGTTAACAGGTCAGTTAGTGCAACCGGTATTTTGGATCAAGAGTCTAGTTGTTCTAATCCGTTCACTAGACCAACAGGCCAGTTGGTCCAACTGGTCGATTGGACCAACAGTTCGGTTAGTCCAACCGGTATTTTGGACCAACATACCAATTCGTCCGACTAGTCCATTGGGCGAACAGGTAAGTTAGGTCCAACCGGTCCATTGGACCAACATGCTAATTCAAACCAACCGGTCCATTGGTCCAACAGGCCAGTTGATCCAACCAATCTATTGGACCAACAAATCTGTTGGTCCAACCGGTCCATTGGTCAACATGCAAGTTGGTCCTGACCGTCCATTGGACCAACAAGCTAGTTTGTCCAATCCTTCTATTGGACCATCAGGCCAGATGGTCTGACCGATCGATTGGACCAATAGTCCAGCTGGTCTATTGGACCAACATGTTAGTTGGTCCAACCATTCAAGTTGGACAAACAGGTCAGTTGGCCCAACCAGTCCATTGGACCCATAGGACAGTTGGTCGAACTGGTCCGTTGAACCAATAGGCCAGTTTGTCCAACCGGTCAATTGGACCAACAGGCCAGTTGGTCCAACTGGTCAATCGGACCAACAGGTCAGTTGGTCCAACAGGTCTATTTGACCTACATGCAAGTTGGTCTAACTGGTCAACTAGACCAACAGGCCAGTGGTCCAATGGGTCTATTGGACCAACAGGCCAGTTGGTTGAATAAGTCTATTGGACCAACAGGCCAGTTGGTCCAACCGATCCATTGGACCAACAGACCACTTTGTCTAACCGGTCGATCGCACCAAACAGTCAATTGGTCCAATCGGTCCATTGGACCAACAGGCCAGTTGGTCCAACCGGTCCACTGGACCAACAGACCAGTTGGTCCAACCGGTCCATTGG